TTAGCAGGAGTTAATCAGCTCCACCTTGAGACTTGACCAGACAAGTTGTTGAATTGGAGTTGTGTGGGTAGTGTTGTGCCTCTGGTGGTTAAGGGAGAGGGGGGTTTTGTTTATGTGTGTTTATGTATGTGTGCTTTATGCCTCTGCTAGGACCGCACCTCAAAGAGATAACAAGGCCTTCTGACAAACAAAGCAGCGGCAGCTGTCTCTTGGATGGTTAAGATAAAGAATGAGCAAATATCAGAGCTAATACAATTCAATTAGTTTTCAGGCATTTCCCCTTTCCCTCCATTCCAAAGAAGGAGTAACTAATGAAGTCCCTGCTGTGAAGGTGGTGGCATTTGCCTGGCTCTCTTGCTCCTCACGCTGTACTGCACGGCTTCGCGAGGCATGGAGGAGAGCTGCTGTGGGCCACATGGTCGTCCTCCTACCCAAGGGTAGAACAATGTTGGTTAAGATCTGACAAATTTCTGCTGCTTGTTTTCACAAGGCTCAGTAAAGGCAATCCTGTGTCCTCAGTCCGTTCTGGCCTCTGGGTGCTCTCATCTCCTCCGCAGGCAGATCTTTTTCTGACTTTTTTCCACTAGCTGCTGGGGAGGCTGGAGGTGACCAAAGCTGAAGAAGGTTTCTGTCACCCTTACCTCTCCAGAAAGTCAGCTGCCCAATATGAGGCAGCAGGATGGAGAGATGGGATTTTTAATGCATAAAAAAGTGATAGTAAAAGAAAGCTTTACCCTTTACCCGTGGGGGGTGACTAACTAGAAGGGCATGGCAGAGTAATCCTGTAATCCAGATTTCTACTGGGAGACATTTCGTTTTAAAGATCAGCACAGTCATAGAAATAATGCAGAGTAATCAGTCTCATCTTCCCCCAGCCCCCATCCTTGCTCCTGGCTATTAGCAAATTAACAAAATCTTCCCAAGCTTTTGCGTGAGACTTACTGTGTCATTACTTCAAAAAAAAAAAAAAAAAGGGAAGAAAGAAAAGGCTAATCTCTGCCTCACTTCTTATCGTTCCCTATCTTCGCCCCCTTTGTTATTGCCAATGAGTCATACTTTACCTTTTCCTTAGTCTGCATCTCCCACATTCTCTCCTCCACCAGATTTCCTGCCACCCCTTGCTCTTGGAGTGAATTCTGTGCTCCTTTGCATGAGAAATTTCAGTTTCCAAAACCATATTTTAAATTCAGGTCTTAACGCAGGGTTGCATCCTGTTGTCCCAAAAATTAAGATGGCCCTTATTTCCTCCCTACTTGGGCACCGCTGATAAATATGGAGGTGTTGCCCTTCGGTTTTTTAACAGTTCATTACCGTGCCTACTGACAAGGCGTTGATAAAGGTATATTTAAGCTGGTTAACTGATTCAGTACAAACACCACATTTTATGGAGAAAAAGTATTTGTGATAGATGCCCACAAAACATAAATGCTGAATGCCTGGGGGCAGATCCTCGTTTTGGATTTGCAACTTGTCTCATAATTTACATGCGCGTTTTCATCCTGGTAGTGAGCTTCAAAGGGGGGAAAAATCATGGGACAAACTGTTGCTTTAATCACAGTTAGGCTTGCTGCTAGAACTGAATTTGCACGAGCATTTGCTGCGATAGGAGAGCAGCACTGTAACATGGGGAAATCATTCAAATGCACTTTTCTGTGAATAAAGTCAAGTCAAGGAAAAAAACAACGCTGGTAAGGAAGTTAAGGCCATGAATCAACAGCCTCTGAAAGCAGCTCAACTACTCTTAGTGATGCTAACAGCATGTGCAAAATCCGTAAGAACAGATCCAGTTTCAGAGGACTTGAGACTGGTTCTCCACATGCATTGCTGAGTGTTATGGGATTTAGCTGATTTCATGATGCTTGTTAAGTAGGAAAATCAGTTGTCATTCATCATTAAATGCCTAGAGCATTACCTACTAAATTAGTGTGTGACAGATCAAATGATGTTGAGAATATTTCAAGTTTTTGTCAACATTCATTTGTAAAGTTTTAAAAGCGGGCTGAAGCAGGGAAGTTCTCTTCACAGCGTTAGTTTGGGATATTCCTCATCTTCTGATCTGAAATTGGTTGTCTGAAGGTTATTTGTGAAGTTCTGTCTGCCAAGTGAGGGAATATATGCATTTCAGTTTAAATGTGCATTGCAGAGAAGTCATAACTACCTTTTGGGTACTGTTGGAACAAGTCTAGGATAGCGGGTGTCTGCTCCCGTGTATGGTCCTAATAGAGTGAAAGTACCTGGAGTCTGGTGCAATAGGTTCTGCTGCTCTGTGTTTCTTCACGATGCCAATAATCATGAACATGTTACTAGTGTGGATGGGAACATTAGTGATACAAGCCTCAAGTTGCACAGTATGTCCTTTACTTCTGTATAGTGAGCTTGGTCATAAGATCATAAAATGTCCGTTCTCCCATCATGTGACCTGGGATGTTGTGCTGCATACACTAGCTGGACTGGGAGCTTCAGCCTCCTAATCCTGCCTGGAAAATACATCCTTGTACTCCATGCAAACAGGAGTTTGCTTCTACAGAGTTAATTTTCAAGGAGCTGATATGACGATGATGATGATTTGGCTACGGTATTTTTTTGGTCAGATCAGTTTCCTATCCCAGCCATGTATGCTGCCGCCACAAAGGGATGAAAATACGTGGCCAGGGAGGCGGGGAGTTGGGACTCCCATGTCTGACAGCAGCCATCTCTTTGCTTGGCTTAAAAGGACTGGGAAAATGCCCTTTTAGTGACTATTGTCTTCAGCACTAACCAAGCTAATTTTATTTGGGCAATTAACATGTCCCAGAGGACTTAATATGAGCCTGGTGCCAGCTAGTCTGAGACTTACTTGCGTTCAGTTATATCTCGCTAAAGATATGAGAAATTCCAGTGATCAGTTAAGAGACTGCTGAACTGATCAGATCTGAGACACTAACTCAGTTGGCCCTTGCTTGCTCCAAGATAGGAGGCCTACTTTTTCACAACTAACCGTCACTGGATGTTTTGTTAACATAGGCAAAACTGTTTGCTTTGGTTTTCCTGTTCCCCTCAATCTGATTTTCAGAAATGTCCAGAGCACATTAGCTCTGTTTTTCCAAACAGAACAATAGCGTGAGGAGTCTCAGTCAAAGCGGTTAAAACTCGTGAGAGTTCTGAACGGATTGCAAGGTCCTGACATGGAAAGGGGCAGGCAACCGTAGTTTTTCTGCTTCTGGGCTATCGTGTTCATCGCACATCAGTCCTTGTTCCGTTGCGTTGGAGATGATCTTGTGGTACAAATCCAGAAGGCATCTCACGGATTGTTTTACACAGAAAATGAAGAGAGAGAGCGAGGTTTGTATTGTTAAGACAGTCACCCACTTTCCAGGCTGGGAACACTACTCATCCCAGAGATGAGGGTATGTGTCCTCCCAGCCTACACATCACAACAGCTTTTGGTTTACTCCTATTTGTCGTTGCTCAGGGAAGAAGCAGTGTTTATGGCTCTAAAGGACTTCTTAACCTTGGCAGGCTGTGGAGGAATCAATCGTACCTAAGCTTTCTTTGCCTGGTGAAGACTGTTTGTGGGGGCCCTTTGTAGCTAGAGGTACGGGGAGAATGCGGGAGCCTTCATTTGTGTTCAGTCCTACCACTCCCTGCTCCTCAAAACCAGCAGCAGAATCTGAAAAATGAAGGCTCTCAGCTGGTGCGTGCACAGCTACTGATGTCTGAAAGGCTTTGGGGTTGTATCCTGTGTCAAACACAGCCCTCTAAGGGCGTGAGCCAAAGTTAGACAGTTCATAATGAACAAGGAAACTGTGATTAATGATCTTCCATGTGCCTGAGCTTCCCTGCAAAGAAAATAGATGGATTTCTTCCAGAGAAGTGTAGGCGCTCATTTCATTTGAAATGTGTTTAAAGATATAATGACTGCTGTTAAACGCTTTCAGGATGCATATATGTTACATGATGTGCTCGAAAAGCAGTTGGAGTTGGCTTGCTGTGAACAGCGGTGCTGCTCTGGAGAAGGTCGTTTTGGCATTTGAAATGAACTGAATTCTGCTGCTTAGTGCACCCCTGAGTTTTATTTAGAAATAAAGATACGTGTGCTACCCTCAAAGGTAATTTTTGTCTCTCTTTGAAAAGTTTCCGTGCTTAACTGTCTCTTTCTGAGGTGATTAAACCCAACTTGTAGACAGCAGCCTCCTTCTTCCAGCACTGCGTGACTCACGCTATCGTGGCTGCTCATCTCAGGTGCAGAATCTTGTGAAATGCATTTTTGACTATCTAAATGTATGACATCCACTGATTTTGCCTTATCTGCTATGACAGTAATAGCTTCTCGAAATGCCAGCGAGTTGGTTAAGCAATACTTCGCAGCCCTACAGCCCCAACTTCCATAGATTAATCAAATTGTTTGTTTAGCAGGTTCTTTAATTGCCTCCTGAAAATAGTTCTTCTGGGCTTCTTCATACCCAATATTGAATATACTAATCTGCAGTTTCCTGTTGGTGGGGTATTTTTAAAGACAAATTGACATTTCACTCCTTTTTGCATCCTCAGGACTCTTCTAAAAAAGTTACAGAAAATGTAACGCTTGCTTTGTCGGTTTCAGTGCTGATGATTACTACTTGTGAAATATGTTATTTTGTTTACTTCTAAGCAGAATTTTGATATTTATACCCACACACTTATGTTTGCATCATTGCCCTGTCTGCATTGCAAACAAAAGCTCAACCTTCTTTCTTTATAAGCACACAAACCACATAGTGCTTAGCAGTTAATTTCTCTAATCCACAGTACAAGCCCTTTATGCTTTTTTTCAGTCATGCTTCTCTATTTCGTGGCCCTGTTACCTCCTGGAAACAACATGAAAAAACCTTGAATGATGTTGGTTTAGTTTATTGATACGTTATTTGGTAGGAATTCTCCAGATACTGTAGAAGATAAACCCTATCCTGAAGCTTGTGATATAATTTTCCGAAGTGTGCTAACTAGTTTGTTGTGAACAGAAGGTGCTGAGTAACGGGGGAATGTTTTGCAGGTTGTGCCTCCTCGTCCAGGATGCCTATGGTCTGTTCAGTGAAGTGCAGTTGCAGTCCCTGAGTTCTGCAGGTGACGTGGAGCAGTATTGCAGGAGGTGGGAAGGAAAATTCTGCTGCTTATCTGGAATGAAAATTTTGCAAAGAACTACAAGAGGAAGGTGAGAACGGTTGATGGGAGAATGTGGTGCGTGCTGTGGCAGGCAAAGGTGATCTGCTTTTTTATTTATTTCTGTGATCAATACTCTTTGGAACGACTGAATCTGGCTTTGTTCAATGTTCTCCTTGCCATTTTTGGGGCATCCAGTAGCACTTGAGCCAACCATACTCCAGAATGAACATGAATGAGCTAACACACAAATACACACGTAGCAGAGGAAGGAATAGAGAAGAATTACTGTATGCAATATTTCATAAAATATGAGTGTTTTCTTCCTCTTCAGTAGATTCAAAGACGTAAAAACATTAGTTCACCTCCCTTTCATTGCTGAACTGATTACTACGTATGTTTTTCTACGGTGCTGCCCGGGTTGGGTTGAAGTTTCAAGCACAGACTCTCCCTTAGTATGAGAGCTTAATTCAGTTAAGTATGTATGGGTTTGGAGGCACAGTTTAAGTCTCTTCTTTTAAAAAAAAATTAAAATCTTGCAGATTGTAAAGCCATTCTTATTTTGGAATAAGAATGTCCACAGGTTTATAGAAAAATCCCCCCAGAAAAGTAAGAGATTGACTCATGGTACCACTGGGATTTTGCTTATTCGGTGATTCCTTTTACATTCTTTGAATAAAATAAAATATCTTTAATCAAGAAAGAAAAATAAATAGATCAAGTATCTTCTTAAGGGCAGTGATACAGTGTTCACATGGGGACCTGTACAAATATAATTAGACGGGTTCAATTCTCAACAGAATTTATTCGTACAAGCGTCGGATGTAGCTCAGCCTTTGCTGTTAGAATGGCTATGGTATTTCTGCTGACACTTTTTTTTCCTGTTGAAAAATGCTGTTTCATCAAAACCAGAATGTTTCATGGAAACATTATCTATTTTGGAGACAACTTTGTTGGGAAGATTTTTTCAGGTCTAGAGGGAGTGAATATTCTCTCATTCTCATTTCATGAAAACTTTCAGAAAGTCTCATTTTTGTTTCATATTGGAACAAAAACAAATTTCAAAGCCTTGAAATGTTTAGCAAAATGGAATTGTTGTTTTCCAGCCAGCCCTATTCAGTATGCTTTTCTTTTTATGTACTTGCAGTGTTAATTTTCAGATCCTTTGGATTTCAAGCCTACTTGCATTTTTATGGATCTTTAATAACAAACACGTCCTCTTATTTAATTATTTAGTTGGCTTTTTTTTTCAAGTTACATTTTTTCCAAACAAATTAAATAATGGCTTTGGAATTCTGGATACAAATGAAGTTTTACAACTGGCTGCTGGTGTTTCCAGTACTCTGCCTAGCTAATAAGAGACAGACTTCTTCTAATGTAAATTCTGTTTCAAAGCAGCAGTAACTTACTTCTGGCTATTCGGAGGGCGATTAGAAGACACACTGCTGAAAATGCTGGTGGCTCAGCTGGAGCTGTGCTGGTGGTAACCCTGCTAGGAAACATTAAAAGAAAAAGGCTTGTGTAGCTTCGGGGACAGTGCAGTGGTTAAAACGTGATTTCATTGTACAAGATGGGTGGGTGGGGGAATTGTTCGGGGATTTATTTTTTTCTTAATTGTTTTAGCCTAAGTTCTGCTTTATAACTTGTTATTACTTTCAAGTGCTGGGACACATTTTGTGTCACTCTAGGTGTGATGGAAACCACAGTAAAACCATAGCTGAAGTGAATATAAGGGAGTACTTATTCACACAGAGCATAATTAGACTGTAGAACTCATTGCCACCGGATAGATGGGTTTCCAGAGCCAGCGGTATATCCGAGGACATGATGGGATATGCCTGTGAGTGCCTAACCTTGGCTTGCAGCACATGAGTGAATAAGAACTCTGTGCTCTGCCCTGCAAGAAAGACTGCTGCCTTTTTTTTTTTTTTTTGAGAATGCCAATTACTTTTCTGAAGGAGATGGCTTTTAAACTTGTGTTTCTTGGAGTCTGACAGTGGCTTTTAAAATGGATAAAAGGGAATAAAATGTAGGAAACACAAAGGAAAAGTCACGACTTTTTTGTGTGTGTGCCTTTGAAGCGCATGATCAGGAGGAAGCCAGGAATGGCTAATAAGATCCCATATGTGCGTGTTGTCCCACAGTGACATGGATTGTAATCTCTCTTATGGAGACAGAGTGCTTCCTCAGGCCCTCCATGGGACAGAGGACTGAACAGATACAAGAGCTTCTCAAGCTTTTGATGTCAATGGACCACTGTTATTGCTCAAAAACTTTTCTAGGCCACCATCCATCCTCGTCATCAAGTATTTAATTTAAAGTACTAATTAATGTCATTCCAGTAAATGCAATTTTAAAATCAGTGTTGAAAGCTGAACTTGCATTTCAAGGACTAAAAACCTATAATAAAGGGTATTTTCCATCGAGGCAAAAACCTGGCTGTAAACCTGACTTGATCTTTGGAATAGACCTGTCCTACAAGACATGCTGAAGAAACTAAACCCATTTCTTCTCCCCATCAGAAAACACTTGTGTTCCAAAAGAAAAGTGGGATAAGAACTCACACAACCGTGCCCTGTCTTGACCAAGATCAGCCCTGTGAAAAATTAGAATTACAATAATCTTACATTGAGAGAAGCACTGTTAATGTTGAGTCCTGTTTTTGAATACTCGTGTGCTTTAATGAGTAGTAGGTGTCGTACTAGGTCATTTGAAGTTCTTTCACTGATTCAGAACAAGTCCCATACCCGAAACCCATCCCTGCAGGAGATCCTTCCCTTTGCAGTCCAGCAGAGAAAGTGGTGTTTCCCTTTGCAGTCCAGTTTCTGGCAATCCTGTAGGACAGACGGGCATGGCAGAGTCACGGCAGAGCTGCCATGGCTTGTTCAGTGTCTTGTTTCCAGCAGTTCTTCTAGTCTGTGCACGAAGCCGTTGAATAAGGCAGGAACCAGGAATTAACAGCATGAATGTGGTTCTGTGTCTGTTTCTTGACACCTTTTCTCTGCACCCTCTCATTCATACTTGCCTCCTAGCCTTTCCTGCAGCAGTTCCCTGAACTGCATGCTTAGTATCAGCAAAAGAGAAAGATAGGGTGCTTTAAAGAGAGGAGACTGAAAAAAATGTTCGTTGATCCGTCACTGGTGGTGTTGGCTCCTTAGAGGTGTATGTGCTCTCTCTCGTCCTCCCTCTACCTCCTGTGTCAGTCTTATAAGTGCAGCCCCTTGGGAAGGAGGAAGGGAGATTTTGATGGCGTACTGCTAGAGGCAGGAATTTTGGTTAAGAATCTGCATGCAGTACAACTAACATATAACCCCCCTATTTCAATAGATCCCAGGCATGTTTCAGGTATGTCTGGTATAACCAGTAACTAAATGGATGCAATTAGATGCAGGGACTGAGCACTCACTAAAATGCCTCGGGAGTAAATAACCTATGAATTGTCATAGCCTTCTGCTGCTTCCTACCAGAAAGTAATTTCCGTGAGCTTCAATAAACTTTGTAGCTAGGTATCTGTCTTTATCGACAAAAATATTGGTTAATGGTTTTAGCCCCGACTCAAGTTCCACACAGGAAAATAGTTTGCATTTTGACAATTTGTGTCTTTTCACCTGATTTGCCAAGCACTGAGTTGTTTTACTGCTGAGTATAGCAGACCCACCTGCTGCTTCTCTTTATGTTTTCTTATAAGGTAGAAATACGAAGAGTTTCCATTCAGCAGAACAGAAAGACGACACCAATCTAAAAACAGGGGGGAGGAAGAAATGCTTTAATGTAATACGTAATTAATGCAGTGTGTCAGTACGAATTTTGTCCCTAAATTGAAAAAATGCTTAACGAGTTTCAAAAGAAGATGCAACTGTTGCATGGATAGCGCTAAAATCCACACTTATGTTGGACAGGGTAAACCACTTTGAAGGATACATCAACCCATAAGCTTTGGCATTTGACCCAGCCTTTAATTCATGGCAGGTTGTACTATCTGTTGCATTTTCCTCTAAAGTAAGTAGACTCTGGATATTGAATTCATCAACCAGTGTTCTGTTTCTCTGCGAAATCTGTGTTTTCAAATAAAGTTGGCTTCTGTTGTTTGTCATTTTAAACTTTCGAATGTTAGGCACCAAAATGTGAAATCTCCCTGTGTTTGGCTGTAGTGTTGGTGACTGTTGTGCCTGAGGGTTTTCTTTCTTCTCTATTTTCCTTTTTTATTTACGTCCCCTTCTTCTCTGGCCTCTATCTCTCTCCGTTTCCCTCTACTCTTCACTGTATACTTTCTCTTCTTTTTGCTTTACACTTAGAAGAGAGGACCACCGCTAACTGCTGTACAAGAAAGTGTTTCAGCTGCAAGACGTTGACAGGAAATGTAATAGTAAGAACTCTCCGCAGAGCAAGGAAGTCATAACTTCCTTCCTTTGGTTTTCCCTCCTCCAAAAAGGCTGCCATCTAAAAGAGCCACCCACGTCTCTGAGGTTTTGAGGTCCTGAAACACTTGGGTAATTGCTGTGGTTAGAAGTTGAGTTCCATTTAAAGCATAATTTCAGTAATCACATTAACGTTTTGAATATTTACGTTACTTTTTTATTATTTTTGATGACTGCTTATCTATCATAAATTAACTTTTTTTCCTGAGTTTTCTGCTCTTTAACCAGCACGGACTGCTGCTTGTATCTGCAGTGCTTCTGTCACGAATCTGTTTAGTAACCAGCATTGGAGAATAACGCGGGCATATCCATATTGAAACAAAAGTACTTTTGTATTATAATTTCAGTGGTTTAATGTAGTGATTTCTAATTGAGTTATTAAAGTATGTAAATATATTATTCAACAAAATAATATATCTAAACAAAATTTAGACGGGGAAAAAAAGCCAGCAACCCTTCCTCCCTGTTTGTATTTTGACTGAGATGCTGGTTTAGTAGGCTCAGATTTTTGCCTTCTGATTTTGTTGCTTTTAGTACTCAAATCTGAGAAAATGTGGTGTTGCATAGCTCGGGCAAGGCAAGATCTTAGTCGGTCGATTAAAGGGAGAGCTAGCCTACAGCATCAGGCTTATATTTGGATGGCTTGTCTTTTGAGAGTTGAAGCTTGTGCAGTCTAGGTGATTATTACTGAATTTCTTTTTATTTTCGAGCAAGGACACTTTTCTGAGAGGGCTAGGAATTGCTTTATTTCTTGAATTCTTAATAAGGAGACTGATATGGCCAAAAGAAAACTGTTTTGTTTTAGATTAAAACTGGGAGAGTAGGAGAGGAGGAAACAGAGAAGAGCCAAGTCTTGAGTCCCCAGAGCAAAGCTGTGGAAGATGCCAGAGGAGAATCCTGGCATCTTTCTTCCTGTCCCCTACTGTAAACCTTGCATAGCCCTTCTTCTTCTCCTGGTTATGGTCATTGTTTTCCTTCTACTTTTTTTGATATTGATATTTCCTCTGTGTAGTAATTTGCCCCTGAACCTGTGGTATGATTATTAAAATCGAAAAATCCCCTAAGCTGTAATGTTAAAAGTTGAATCAGGGATGTCACCCATGAAGATCTTGGACCAGAACTGTAAATGAAGGTTCATGCTTGTGAGAGAAGTAAACAGAATCTTCTTATTAAGTTAGGAAATAAGTTGTCAGATGAGAGTCAGTGAAATACAGTTTTGAAATGTCAAAATTTGAAGTTGTTTGATTTTTGTAGTATAGGTTGTAGTACGGAATGAATGACATTTCCACAGGATCAGCGTAGATGTGCTGATACTATAGATACTGGTTTATCACTTTACTGGGTGTCTAAATATAATTACAGCAGCTTTGCTCTTTTATCAAAAATCGTAGAACGAACACGTATATGCATGTGTGCACATCTGAATCTGTGCCGTTTGACTCTGCAGTGAAGGGCAAAACAAGGCAGGCAGGTTAGAAGCAGAGGGTGGCTTCTGTCTCCTGCTGAGCTCTGAAACTGAGAAGCAAGGTGGTTAGGTGCGTGGATGAAAGCAGATTCTTCTGTACAGGGCAGCCCAGTCATCATCTGTGGTGAGAGCTGTGGGCAGGGAAAAGTAAATGCTGTTTTATTAGCATCACTCACTATCTTCCAGTAGTTTTTCTGTGGAGTAGTTTAAGATGATTTGTCAAATAGGTCAGGATGGTGCGTGTGCGTTTTGCATTTTCTCAGCCGTGTATTTAGCCTGTTTAACAGGGTTAAATCTTTAAAATTCTCTGATGGCTGTCTGACAGTTTACATTTATGGATACAGAGAAAAGATGTACCAAAGCTGAGCAAGGAAAGGTTAAGTTGAGAAGCGTGTCTTTTGAGCACATTGGACAATAAAAATAATTAAGGACACTAAAAATAATTATTTTGTGTATTGTATGTATATACATGCACACACACATATATAAAAATATTATTTTTTAGGAATCTGTCCTTTTGTGTTCAAAAGTATTTTAATTTTTTTTTTTAAAGTAACTAGAATTACACTCACAGAGCAAAATTTTAAAGTTTTTACTTTGTCTTCTGTAGCCAGAGAGGCTCTTTGTGCACGTAGGAGCTAACCAAGTCTTTCCACGGTAGCACAGAGCCAGCTGTTCATCTCTTGTCCTGACTCTATAGCTGAAGAAGGATACACACATTGGATAAAATACATCTGCTGTTCAAGTCAGCTTGAAGTGGGATTTGAGTGTTGCTTGGCCAATAAAGAGAATGAATTTTACTTATTCTGTGAGGACAGTGATTTTCCACGGTGGAGGACACAATGTCTTGCCATTTCTCCACTGCCTTTGCCTCCACCTCATCCCCCTTCTGCTAAGTCAAGCCCGTAAGTGTAAAGAGGGAGTTAACTTTCTTGGAGGCGTATAAATGGGTGGAGCAAGAGGGGAGATCCTCTCCGGGGGACACAGACTGATACAGTGACAGCTCCAGGAGAGAGCATCCCCTTTGGTAGACAAGGATCCCGAAGGATGTGATTTGGAGCTTGCAGATCCTTTCGGGTGGCAAATGTCCCTGCCCTTTGCCTAGCTGGTGTCAAAGAAAGGGATGGGGACAAGATGTTCAGGAGCTGCTCCTCTGCCTGTTTGTAAGCAAATACTGTCATTTACTAATAATTAAATCCTCCTCGTTCAAGCAGTAAATGACCTTCTCCAAAAGAACACAAGTAGTAGAAGTGTGTCTTAGATATGTGGGGTAGCAAGCTGGAGGAGAGCTAAGGAAGAAGGGACAAGTTCCTGTCCCTTGTGCAAACCTAAAAATACAGATGAGGGGTCAATGTAAGGTCTGTGTGGAGATGTGATTGTATCTGCACTGCAACAACATAGCTCAGTCGCTCTAAGTTGGTAAGTATGCGGTCTCTGGACACACACACACACACATAGAGTCTGTGGCACGTTCATACCCTTGTTCTGCCCTCGGCCTCGTGCTGTGTGTCGTGTGAGGAAGGCCACTTGTGTAACGGCCTGAGTTGTACAGGAGGCTGTGCTCTCTGCTTGTGACTCCTTTTGTCCCAGTTAGCAAGACCAGTTTGTTCCTCTGAGTATTGGCTGTCCTGTGACTGTAGAGAGGGGTATCATTCTGAACGATACAGGACAGAAAATCTCACCCCAATCAAGGATTCAAGAAGAGGTCAGTTTGCTGTAAAGTCTCTTTAATACCTAAGAAGTGTTGCTTTGTACGTTGTAATGTTCTCACTGTTAAAAACAAAACACAAAGCCTCTGAGCTCAGCCTTCTCCTTTTACAGACTCAGCGATGGTGCCAGGTATAAGTTAGGAAGTTCATTTTTGTAAAAGAGCAGCACATTTGTGTTTCTGGTCTGTTCATTAGTGTGGAGAACGTGACTACAGGTAGCAACATCATCTTTTTAATCTGCCAACTTGTTGCCTGAATCATGAACCACAAGCTTTATTCCACAAGATCCACTCTTGAGATTTACAGCCCTAAAACTTCTTACGGTGCTGGTCCAAAGGCATCACTATTAACACTGAATCATAGATGGTACCTGGGGCTTTTTGGAAAAACATGGGAAGACGTTCACTGCCTGTAGCCACCCAAAGTCTAAGCACTTAAGGATACGGAGAAGGACTAGGGAAATACAGAAATAAATAAGCTTACTAGGGAAATCCAGAAATAAATAAGCTTAAGCAGAAATGAGCTAAAAGCAGAACTTTAAAAGGAAAGTTTCTGTGACCCTTTGAGGAGAATCAGCATATTGCAACGTGCTTCAGCCCTGTGCCAGAGTGTGCCGTTTCCTTCTGAACAGTTGAGTTTAGAAGCTAATACTACTTTTAGAAAGTTTTGGACTTCATTTTTTAAAGCTCTTTCAGAAGTAGTGGCTTTCTTAATGGGAGAGACTTGTCCTTGGAGACAGTGTGGGGTTAAAATCCAGATCTCTGCTTTAACTGCACAGAACAGAGGACTAGGACAAGATAACTGGGAGCTCTAACTCAAAAATGCATGCCTCTTCAAGTTGGTTATCTGTAGCTATTTCCCCTCCCTCAGCTGTTTTCTTGGCCTCTCCCTCAGATGTTCCTGCCTGTCCAGCAAGGATGCCATGTCAGCTGGCAAGGCTGCCACCGAGCTGCTGCAAATTACAGCTTCGCTCGCTGAAGCTAAAGAGTCTGCAGCATTTTACCTTAATATGCTGGGCTGTTAAGTTTGTGTTTGTTTCTAAATTGAAAGTGGGAAACTTGCAAAATAAATAAATACAACATTGTAACTAAATGAGTAGCTGTGTAGGAAGGAGACAGTCCTCTGCACGTGTACTTAAGATAACAAAATCTTGCCTGTTTCTCTGTATCTGGTAATTGCTGATTTTCCTGAAAGTAGCTGGCTGTTAGAGAAAAGCGAGAAATGAAAATGTTAGAAGCAGCACTTTTTTTCTTTTTTTTTAATCTATCAGTTAAAATAGTTAAAAGCTATTTTTTAAAAGAAGTTGTCCTGGTATCTGTGTCCTTCCTGAGCTAGCATTTACCCCAGTTCCCCTGAATTTTATCATGTAGCAGGCTGTTTGTGGCAAAGGATTAAATACGACTTGCTTGTCACCGAGTGTGTTAAATCCCCTCCCTCCCTCTCCACCCTGCAGCAGCAATGATGGAGATTTAATTAGACCAAATCCAAACCGGCTTCCAGAAAACAAATATGATTTAAAATTGTTTTCATAATCATGCAATGGTTTAAATTATGTTTCTTAATTAATCCTTTTAATGTAACGTGTAACAGTGGAAAATATTTTTAACCTGATTTTATTGGTCTTTTTGAAGGTCATTGGGACTTTTCAGTCTGATAGACAGCCTGTGGCCTCCAGGAGTGCCTGTAAAAGTTCCTGGAGAAAGTCAAGACTCTGAGATGGTAAGTGTTGTTATTATGGAAATGAATTTTTTTCACTCACAACTGCTATTTTTGTTGGTCGTGTAATTGTGTTTACTTTGTGAATCAGATTCTCTCCCTCTCGTCAGCTACTGAGTTTTGTTTTACTAGTTCTGGCAACCTCCTAGGCTAACCTGAAGCCCTCTGGATCAGCAGCATCTTTCCAAAGTGATGCAATTAGCCCTTTATTAATCCTCTACATCTAGAATGGTAGGATGTCCAGACAAATTATTCCTCTCCTCTCCTTGCAGGAGGAGAGACATAATAGATAGCATGGAGCCAGCTGAGAAATCTGTATACAAGGATATTAACTAATTCTTTTGAAGCACTTTTCAGCCTTAGATTTGAAAGCATTTTTCTGAAGATTAACTTCTGCAAAGGCAGAGTGACCGCTGGGATCGGGTCTCTTACTAGTTAGGATGACTTTGACAGGTACTTGCCTCACGTAAAGACAGTCAAAGGATGAACACAAAAATAATCTACTAAAAAATAGTGACTGTTTCTGTGATTTTAAGGGGTGGGGAGGTATTAAAATGGATTTAAAATGCATTGCTATGTATTTGCAAATCTAAAACTGTATCTTTACTTTTCCTTTAATGAGCTTTTGTGTTTGAAAAGGAGTTCTGTCATATCAAGTGTCATTTTGGTCATACGAGATCGTTTGAGAAGCTTCTGGGTAGCCAAGTGTTTGTGCTGTCCTGCTGTTCTTGTATAGGCTGTTCTTTGGGGGAGAATTTTGTGGTATTAAAAATTTGTGTACCAGCCTAGGGGAGTCAATCAGGATGCAAGTTCTAGAAAAGAAGAAAAAGCTGGAAATAAACAACTTTCAAACCCAGGGGACATTAAAGGTGGATATTACTAGTTATTTCTCAAGTCTGAGAATCTTCTTTCTGCAATGGAGAGTGTTCTTTGCATTGTGCAGGGGTTTATGTTGAAGAATAAAAAGTTCAGACCTTGGTTGTATATAAAACCAAGACTGAAACAGAGTGAAACGGCTGTTCTCTCCTTGGATTCTCTTTCATCTAGACATTTCAGAAGTCTCAGAGGGGTGGATTGTTTTATGCATTAAAATACTGTGGACAACAGAATGGGAATATCCACAGATGGAGCAAAGCTCTTAAATGTTGTTTAGCGTTGTTTTGACTCTCATTTGTTCTTCATTTTCTCTATTTTATTAGCAATCTAAAAATGGAGGAAACGTTCCATAATCATGCCGTTTACACTTCTGCCATGGGTTTGAAATACTCATTTGTTCCATGGAGGATCACGACTTGCATTCTACTGCTGCAGGTTTTTGGCTGAGTGGAATTTTTTCAGCTGAGATACATTTTTCTTGATACAAACAATGTAGTTTTGTGCACAGTTTCGTGGAAGCAGTTTTATACATAGGTACATAAATAATACTGCCAGCACGCTGATAATGTTGTTGGGAAGAGATCTGTGGAACTGATTTCTTTTCAGCCATAGGTACATTCAAACACCTTCTTTAGTGCTGTCAGAGGCAAACAGAATTTGGGTATCAACTTCTTTTGCCTTTTTTTTTTCCTTATGCAGATATTTTTTTTAATGGGTGGACAGCCGTCTGCAATAGATTCATATTTCTTTTATTAAATAAAATACTTTATTAACAGCAAACATCACTACATCACTAGAAGACTACTTTGCCATATCCACAATAAAAATTATTTTCTAGCACTGTCTTTTTTTTTCCTGAGAAGCCTTTCTGTCCTGGGACCTCTTTAAGTGGTGATTGATAAAGTTGTTACGTCATGGTACTTTTTAAGGGGGAAAGAAAAATCTGGCATAACACAAAGAGAGCAGTTCTTGTAGCTGTTGCATTCCTGTTCTTCATTATCTCCTTGTGCTGTCCTGGATTTAATTTGGCAACTTTAACAGTTTGGCAGCTGTTTACTATCACAAAAACCCACCCACATGCAAAAGTCCCCAAATCTTAGAAAAGATACGGATGTTAAAAAAAAACAACAGAGAATAATCAGGGCACTCCTACCATGTAATATAAAAATGCAACACCACCAACACCACCTTGAAATAGTCGCAGTGTTTGCCAAGTGTGCCAAATCATGAGATGTTTCTGTGGTGAGAATCGATGTCATATTGTGGAAAGAATGATACGGACAAGCCGATTTCTCTTATAACTTCTCAGTGTGGATTTATTAACTTCTGCTTCAGAGAGTCATTGTTATTAACCGTGTAATTTCATTTCCCCATCCCTCTTAAAATGTAAATAGTGTGGTTTGTTTTGGCTAATATTGTAAAACCTGACTGGCCAAATTAAAGTGCCTTTTTTAAGATCACGTTTCTTTTCCTTACTTTTTAATAGATGACAACTAATCTTCCTCCTCCCAGCTTCTGTTATATTCTTACTGTTCAGTCTGGTGAAATACATGTGGAAGTGGATGAGGAAGAACAGATTTCTAATTTGTACCAGCCACCAGCTGTTCATGGTCTAAAGGAAATTCTTCAGGTAATCTGCTTTACAAGCCAGATGACAAATACTTTGTACCACTGGATTTCTGCTGCCATGTTTGTCTCATTCCATGTTTTTGTACTATTTTCAGATCGATGGTTGTAACAAACGTTGTAGCTTCTGGGCGCAAGCGCTGTATCTAAGGCTGCAGGTAATCTTTTCACTTAGCAGTGAATTCAACGTAAAATCAACACTATGTTTGTGCAAAGAAGCAAGCATTTGTCTCCTTTAGGGGAACCCAAAACCTTCCTGGATGAGCTTCAAGAGTTGTGTGAGCAGAATTGTCACCGGGTCTAAAATGCTTGTGAATGGGTAAAATAAACTGCACCTCCAGTTTCAATACCATCCAGTCCGGAAAGTAAATTATTTCTGGATAAATTGCTATCTAACGAGCGATAATATTGCACCCTGGTAAGGGAGCTTGCAGGAAGTTAGCTGAGACTCGATTTGTAGCTAAATGCTATCCTTGGATCCATAGCAAAAAGTTCCTGGTCAGCTGAGTGTCTGGGGGTAGAATTTAACAGATGATGGTTATATAAAAATACAGTTTTGCTCCTTGCATGCAAGTGTGTGGACTATTTTTGTTGACTTCAATAGAAGCCCCTCAGGCAAATTTGGCTTTTATGGTCCAGTTAGTAGAAGGGAGGAACTCTTAGGTAAATACATCTGCCATCCATACTATGTTGGAAAGCTTATAATCGTGTTTTATTTATTTGTTTCTGAATGATGCTACAAATTTCTTTCAAAATGTTGCTAACTCCCTCAGTAGTTAAAGGAATTTTTTGTTGCTGATTTATTTATTTTTTCCTGGCGACTGGTTCCTCAGTACAGCCAGCACTGAATTCTGGTGGAGAATAATTTGCAATTGTCCATCAGCTCCACAAGAAACAAAGTGTGAATCAAAGCATATGAACTAAAGACAAAGAAATTCCAGAACGGGCAGCAGAATAGCTGGAGATGCTTCCCACCAGTGTGAGACATAAATTTAATTTAGGTCTTGCCCTTTTGCTTCAAAAGCCAATGAATTATGATTTGATTTTTAGGCAGGGAGTACTTGTAACTCCTGAGATGAGGGGCATCTCTTGTGTTTTCTCCGTGCTAAGTGAGAATTTAACAGAGTATTTGCAAACGCGAAACGGGGTTTAGCCTGATGGGATATTTAGGGTACCAACAGAAAGATGGACACACAGATGCATAAACTTCTATTTCCCAGAAACCTGTTCTGTTAAAAAATAAAATAAAATTTCAGACTAGTGGTATCCTACCCGAACAGTTTTGTGTTCGGGAATGCCTACATCTGAGATGCTGTAGGTCATCCGTATTCTTGTGTAGAAGCACTTCATCACTGAATTAGAGACAAAAAAGCATGCAGGCACAGATGCGATTTTGAAGAATGGAAGTTTGTCTAGCAGAAAAAAAGGTCTGTGCTTTCTTCTTGCTACTAGGAGGTTTATTAGCTGGTTTTTTAATGGCTATTCACTCTCTGAACTGTAAGCACTAAATTTTCGTAAGTAAACAACGTGAGTGCTCAGAAATTTTTTGAAAGTCATGTTGGAAAAGCAATAGAAGGTTTTCTTCTTCTGCATAACCTCTGGATAGCTGCTGGATCACTGCTCTAGGAATGTAAAGGTATTTACCTGCCGCTAGTGTATTGCTTGCCTAATCCTCCCAGAAGAAGGTCATGAAAAGCAGTTTGTTTACTGCGGTTGCCTTCGGCAAAGGGACGTAGCCTTCCAATGCAAAAGCATCGAGTCGTAGTAAGTGAGGAAGGGAGAATGATCTGGGTTATTTTGCAGACTTGCTGTTATGAGGTAATCTGCTACGTAAGCTAATTCAAACGTACTTTAAAATACAGTTTTTGTGCTATGTAGCTACAGTATTCTGAGATACTTCATTTAAGGAGGAATGGAAATAAGCTTTTATTATTGCTCAGAATCTGTACTGTGGTACAGAAGGACCAGGAGGAAATATATTCCATCTGTGGTTAAGGAGCTGTCCTTCCTTGTAACTCAATCCTGCTGCTCTTTGTCTGTTGCGTCCTCTCTGTTCAGAACAAATTGTCACACATAGCAAGATGATGATTTTATACTCACTTGTGATTTTTTCCTGTTATTATTATTAATTTTTGGATGATTCTTCTGAAAGCAGCTTTTCCTGTGTTGGTAATTCTCGTGTGACAGCTGTAAAAATTCTTTCTTTGAAGCTGTCCTAATGCTATCTGCTCAGAGGAGGTGCTCAAATGTGTGTAGTAACTGGGCAAAGAAACAACGTCAATGCAACAGGCAGCATATGCTGTATTAAGGCACAAGGGGAATCCCTGAGTTACGAATTTTCCCAGTCATTATTTACAATTACTGCATTTGTTCTAAGAGCTGCAACTTTGAGAATAAAATCTTTACCTGATACGTCTCTCTCCAATCATTGTAGTATTTAATGTTCATATAAGTGTTTTAAGTATGAATTTTTAATCGGCAGACTAATTAAAAATAGTAAGAAAAACTTAGTAAATTAAGAAAGTAGTTTAATCTCAGTTTAAAATCTTAAAATTTACAAGTTGCTTGGACTGGCAAATGTGAATTATGCTTTGTTATTAAACCCATATTTTCTAAAGCACGGGAAAACTCACATAGACACGCAGATAGTATAAAATCTTTGTTAAAAAAGTAAAGAAGAAAAGCATGAATCTTCCAATTGTAACCCATCTGAATTTGTTGGAGACCCTGGAATAAGCGCTGATGTGTATGTGATGTCTGTCTGATCTGTCTTGTTCATCATCCCAGTGTGAAAAATTGTAAAAACACTACTGATTTTGTGGTAATTATTTTCAGGTATAAAGGCTGAGATGAAATGTAGGTATTTTGGTTGTGACATCAGTAGTTGTGATATACCTTAATTTAGTCACACCGTAGTACTTTTATGTCTGCCTTAGGCAGAAAACTTTCGTTGTCATTGCGGGTTCCTGTGTCTCTTGCTTATGAGTTATCTCCTTTCCTCTTTCGATGCAGCATTCAAATATTTAGAGGTGTTTCTTCAACTGAAGGAACAAACTCCAGCTTTGTAACGTGCAGTAGCTATTAGCCAAGGACTGGTGCTCTTGGGAATCAGATAACAGTATATGGAAATTTTTCTCACACAGGAATAATATTACTGGTAGCATTAGCCTTCGGGTTTTTTTAAGGCAAAAATTATACAAGTCTTTGTTCATAAAAACAGCCAATTAACTTTATATATAGATATAAGTATGTAATATATGTGGCATATATTTTTAAAATAAAATCTATGTTTTCAAATCCCTAGTACAGTCCAAGTGAGTTACGATAAAATGTGATAGTTGATAGAGGTGAAGCCAAGATTCCAGTGGGTCAGCCTCAGAAAGTTAATTTAAGGTAGAGATGTTTGTGTCTGCAGTGAGGTATAAGGAAAAATTCCAATAAAGTTTTGATTCATTGTCCCGTACGAGCCCTAAATGTAATAATTTCTGTCAGTTTTATTAGTTATTTAAATGTGAGGTTGTTATTTTAGTCTTTCCTTGTACTAATAATTAGCAACTGCATTCCAATTGTGTTGTTTGGTTGGTTTTTTTTTTTAAATCGTAGACAAAACACAGTGTTCCTACAAATCCAAGAGAGGTTTGGTTGGTTGTGACCGACTCCACACTGCAAAACGAGGTTCACAGCACTCCGAAAGTTGTTGCTGTGTCCGTCGCTGCGTCGTGTGTTCTCAGCACGGAAATCACAGATGCCCTCAGCGTTGCCTCACGACTCGTCTTCTTCAAGGATGCGCTGTGGGGAAATGGTAAGCTTTACGCGTGGTTTGGAAGCAGTTGGACTCAAACTGAAGTGGCATCCCAATCTCTGAGGATGCGTGACCTACAGAGACTTTCAGTCTCAGATGAAGAAGAGACATTGCAAGTTTGGGGAGAAATTTGGAAGTGATTGTAGTTAGAGCTTTCCCGTAAGGTTTCTTTCTTACATTTTTGGCTTGATCTCCAAAGTAAAGGAGGAATTCGGTGATCTTGCTGTATGTCCACCAATACTTCTGTCAGTCTTCCCTGATGGCTGTTGAATCTAATAACCGGCGTCAGTCAAATTTGCTAGCTGACAGAAGACTCAAAGACTCGCAGTTGGACTAGGTGATTGTTGTAGGTCCCTTCCAGCTGAAACAGTCCCTTCTATTAAGTGAGAAACTGGGTTTCATTTGTTTTTATATTCTTGCAGAAACTTGTTTTATTGAATTTACTACCTCTAAAAGGAGTAAGAGGGTGAATCTAGGGGCTTGTGTGTCCCTAGACACAGAACTTTTACAAACTCTCCTACACCATCTTAGCTGTGAGCCTTCGCCACCATCCAGGTCGCGTAAGGATGGCAGTTCACTTCACATTCAGTTTTAGTCGCTCTTTTTTGAGGTTCAGGTATGGTTCTGTATGGTGTCTGCGTGGGTAGTCCATACTTTCAGTCACTTCCAACGTGGAAGTGGACTAGAAGCACCAACCTTTGTAAACAGCTGTGTGTCCTGGAGCAAAAATATCTGCTTTGGAGAATAAAGCATTGCATGCGCCCGCTCTTTGTAATCTTTGAAACAAAGAAAGGCGGCCCGAAGGGGTGCCCAAGCTTATTACCAGGGAATAGACAGTAGCGTGTTTGCAGGGAGCGGGGTGTGATGCAGTCAGGGTGGAATCGGACTCTTTTCTGCCATGCTCGAATTTTTAAAACATCTTTTTTTCCCTGGGAGTTGCAAAGTGTAACAAGAGCATGATGCATGTGTCGCTGAAAGCAAAATATTTTGTCATTGAGAAAGCCTGATGGAGTCTATCCATCTGTTTAGTAGCTGGCAGAGATCGTTGTCTTTATTGGCCGTGACAATTAACATGGTCACCTTTTTCCCTGTTACTGTACTGAGTTGAAATGTCTCTGTTGGCAGGTAGGATTATTTGTGTTGAACGCACTGTTCTCTTGTTACAAAAGCCTCTTTTGTGCTCGGCTGCCGGTGCTGACCTCAGTGAGCTGACTGGCCCTGTCAGACTCGATGAGCTGGATTCTACAACACAGGCCAACTCCGTTTGTGCTGTAAGAGGTTTGTATGGCCTTTCCTGGAATGAATGTGGTTAATTATTTCTGCTCACTTTAATCTTTTAGGTCTTCATATTGATTTCTTGCACAAGCATCGTGGAGGGATAAAAAAGCACGGTATTGCTGTGGGTCATTAGGAAATTTCAGGTTTTATACTTCTTTGCCTTTTGCTGGCCAAGCTCTGCTCCCACTCGCTCATACCCCAGAATAAATGTTTGATGCACAGTCTGCTTTATGATGTTCCTCCCGTCGCCGTCTTCTTTCAGGAGCCTTCTGTTCACACCAGCCTTGTTGATGTTGGCAACAGTAAGGTGTACTAATATTTTTTAGGCAAGATGGATAAAGTTACGTTAGCCAGATCCTGATTGGTAGGGGTTATTGTCTGATTTCCCTGGAGCTTTGCTGCAATGGGGCAATTTAATATTTCACCATAGTCATCTAGCATAACTTGGCCAATATTTGCTCACCAGCCACTTTGGATCATTGCTTTGTCTAATATTTCAGTCCTACCGCTAACCATGCAGAAACATTTCTTACAATGTATTTTCTAACGTTTCCTAATCATGCAGAAACATTTCCTACTGTGTATTTTCTAATGCTTTGTCCAGTCAGCTTCTTAAACCTCCCAGCTGTAGAGTGCCTATAGGGAAAAGTCCTTAAAAGCCCAGTTACTCCTGGCTTTTAAAGACAATTTCCTTTCTTAATTTAACTCTTAGCAGGCCAGTAGCCCTTGTAGAACATTCTTGATACTGTTTTACATTTACACCTTCAAGTATTCGCTGGAGCGTTTGAAATGAGCTTTAAAATCATAGAAAATAATGGTAACCAGTGAATGCTTCCCGCTCTAATGTGGTGCACGGAAAAGAAACCATGCGAAGCTGTTCTAAACGTACCTTCTCTTATGGTAGAGCCACAACTTAGCAGTGCCTCTGTGATTAATAGATGAGCACCTTGCAGTGACAAATCCTGAACTGCAACACTGCATGATGAAAAACACGCACAGCGAGAGGCGCTTCGCTCCAAGCCTTGGTCGTTCTGTACATCTCACGTCGATATTGTGAGTTACTTGAATGATATTTCTGTCACTGGCTGTGAAATACTTCTTGGCGGGTTTTTTTAAACCTCCATTAGTTAGGCAAAAAATTACCACTTCACTCTTAATTTTATGACTAAGTAGGAGAAGTGCCTGTCTTCTTTTGTCCTGTTGCCAGTGTACGTAGTAGGATAAAACAAACATTTCTCTGTCCTTTCTTTTCCAGTAGAGCAAAGAAAATACTCCTTTGTGATCTTTCCTTTGCACATATGGGAGCTGTCATGCTTTCCCTGTTCTGTACTACAGATGGAAGAATGACAAAAGCAGAAATTAATCCTACAACCTTGTCTTGCTTAATCTGAAATTTGTCCCACCTAGCTGTTACCAGTGTGTTCCCACACCTTGGCACCAAGGTGGAATAGAAAGTATCTTCTTTATACCTATGCTAGTGCTATATATAGGTGATAACTCTCACTTTAGTGTGTAACCAAATTTATTTAGTAGCATTTAAGATACAGATACAGCGTTTTGGAATTCAGTGAGTTGTCGCCTACATCTTTCTACTGAAGCAGTGAAGCTAACAGCATTAACCCTACTTTGTTGGTGGGAGAATATGTATTTGATGGAGTAACCCATGAAGGAAAATTCATCGTCTCTCAAATTCACTCGCTGTCCCTGTCTCTTAGCCAGTTGTCAGTCTGGCTTTCCAGGAGAAGCAGTATTACCTCGTTCGTTCTTTCTTCTGTGTGCCCTCCTTTCACGGCCTGTACTTTCGGTCGCCCACGCGTGCCGCACGTGGGCCTCCTCTCACCTGACGCACTAACCTAACTCTCGCCTCACTCGCCTCACAAAAAGGCTGCAAAGGCTTTACCCCTTCTTGAAGCGGTGCTCCTTCCTGCTCCTCTGCAGTCGTGGCTGCTCCTCCTGGCTCTCAGGGATGCAGCAGGCTCAACCTTCCCTAGAAAAGCTGCTTTTTGACCAGTGAAAAGTGCAGGTGGTCATTCCAGTCCCCATCCACAGGTACAGCGGCTGGCGGCAGTGTCAGAGCTTCCAGCAGTGCTGGGACTGGGAAGGGGCACAGGCCATGCTGCCGGGTGGGTTTGAGGCAGACTGGTCATTTTTTGGAAGGTGTCTAAATAGGGTCAGTTAGGTTGGGAGGAACCTCTGACGTTCCTCCAGTCCTAACTCCTGTTCAAAGCTGGGCCCTGAGGAACCTGGTGCAACTCTCTAGCTGCCCAGCTTTAAAAGCACCGCGCTGCAATCCAAGCAGATGCACCAAGTTTGTCAGGAATCCTTGTTTCAGAGAGGTCTGGTCATATCAGCTCTGGGATGGGGTGTGTTGCTTTTCAACAGATGAGTGAAAACCTGTGGTTGTTTTCTACTGGAAAGTTTATTCTTCTTTTAAAGATGAGTCTTGTGGTTCTCACCTGTGAGACGTTAACTATTAACCTGTCAGGGTTAATAGTTTTTGTTTTCTTATCAAACGTAATTTTTTCTATTTAGAAAATGCTATTAATTTTCTAATATTATGTATTCTAAATAGCAATTTCTGACCTCTTTTTGCTGTGTAGTAGCAGTCAGGATGACTTAAATGTTGGCAGTTCATACTGCACAGAACTGTGTTTCCTCTGACCCATGCTTACGAGCAAATCCTAGTTACTCCATACCACATATGTTACGTGGGAATATTATTTGATTAATTATATTTGCCGAGTGTATGACTCACCACCAGTGATTGAATTTAGACATTGGATATTTTCATACCCACCACTTACTCAGGGGTGGGTTTTTTTCAGTTTCCCTCTTAACAGTGTGAACAAGATGGGGTCAATCAGCTTACCTAGATTTCTCTTTTTGATTGAACTTTTCCCCTTCCTGTCCATTAATCAGGGTAACTGATTGGAAAAAAAAAAATACACACGTTCATTTTTTGAACGTTTCATCCAGAGTGTTACTTTTAATCCTCAGCCCTTCCTTGCGTGCCGCACCAGAGACCTGTTTTTCCAGGTGGTGTCCTGTTATCAGTCTCTGCTCGGTGCTGTCAGCCACGGCCCATAAAAATAGACTAGAGGTAAAAATCAAATTTTGGCTGTGTGCATTTCTATTTAAAAGAAGGATCTCAGGAAAAGATCCAAAAGGTTTGTGAACGTCAAGCAAAATCCAGAGCCTTGACCAAGACGTGCAGCAGTTCAGCAGCTTAAGCCTGAGCAATCACTTTGCATGCGGGATGCACAAGGCTGTCGCTCGATTATTGGGTCTGTTGCCACCTTCAGTTGTGTTTGTTCTGACTGTGTGTTGTCATCAAAATAAACCTCTCCATAGATGCAGTCTCGTCAGCATGATCCTGGTTCGTTTTCTTCCCATGAACTTGTGTTTCTTGCGCACTGGCATCCTGCAGCTGCAATGCGGCACACAACTGGGGGAAAGTTAAAAGGTTTAGAGAGAAACAGGTCCGTCAGCAAAGGGGATTTTGGTGTGTTTTTAAAATGACGGTTTAATGAAAAAAAAAGGAAACATATTCAGCAAACTAGTTGGTAGCTTTTCTTTCCCACGAACAAGGGAAACATGCCCATGCTGTGGCAGAAAGCGTCCTGCCTCGTAGTTGCAAGTGCTCATGGAAAGTCCCAGTTTATCATAAAACTCGAAGAATCAGAATTATTCCTGTAACGGTCCAAGGGGTTAAATGCACAGAACTGCTTATCCTGACAATGAAATCTGTGTTGTTTCCTTATATGCACAGAAACTGGGTTATAAACGTTGTATTTGAGAAGTCCCTTTCCTGATCTTCACACTTGCTGTCCTTCGAATTCCCAAAGAAAATTACGGTTTTGTTGTTTATGTGTAGCTCCCTCCTTCCTGTCAGTCCTTGTCCCAGGAGAACCAATAAAGCCAGGGATTAATGCCCTGTCTTACAGAGCAGGCAGTGAAAATGCTCCCTAGTCTCCAGGGGTTTCTTTTATTGAATGTGGTATAAAACTGTGAGATACTTGCTCAACGGGAGCTCTGATTTTTAGTCTATACTTCTGTGGTACCAGTGAGGGTTTATTTTAGTGCAATTTCATTCTTACAGGTGATCCACTTGGTATGCTTCAAAATACCTAGGAGTATTTTCTCCATAAATAATGCCCATAATTTCACCGTATCATTACCATAAAAACATGATACACTCTTTATTGGCTTCTCATAAAACTCTGAATATATTTTCTTGCCAAGACTAGCAAGGCCCTTTATATTAGTCCAAAGTATCTTTGGCATTCCCTTCTGAGGCACACACTTAAATCTGTGGGCCAGATCTAATCTCTGTTAAATCGGTATAAATGAAGAATAACTCCATTGTTCGTGGAATTCAACCTGCATCGTACTTTTCAAAAGGGGTTGGGTCTTCTCAATGGTTTGTGTTTCCTAAATATCGATATCAAGCTATCTGACCTCACGATTTTTATAGCCATTTATTGCCAAGGAAACATCAGAGGGCCAGAAAGCAAGCAAGCAAACAAACAAAAACAAATCAGAAAAACATTAAAACCCAAACCAAAAGAACTGAACCTGTTTGGAAAGTTAATTATCAATTATCTACCTTCTGGTGTTTTCAGAATGTAACACACTTTGCCGTACTGTCGTCCCGTGTTGGAGGGACGAAGGAGAAAGGGAGTGGGGTTGTTGGAAGCGCTGATGCTTGCTCTGACAAGTCTTATTCTTAAGCTGAGAGTCAGAAAGGATCAAACCTGCTGGGAAGCCAGGAGTGACTGTGTGTGCTGGCTTACCGTTAGCATCTGGTAAGAGTTTCGTCTTCTGCAGGCACTGTTGTTGGAGTTAATGAGAGCACTGCTTTCTCCTGGCCTACCTGCGACAGATGTGGCAATGGAAAGTTGGAACTGTGTCCCCAGGACAGGTGAGAGTCAGCGTGCTCCGGAGCACTCCAGGTGTTCTGCAGATGTAGCCATAACAGCAGTCGGTGATGCAATGATTCCTGCAGGCACAGGCTGCACTTTGTTCCTTCCTAGAACTAAGACGTAGTATTTTTATTGCTGATGAACTGATAAAACCTGCAAGGTTAGATTAATTTATTAAGAAAGATACAAGGAGATATGAACTGGTTTGAATTTGCTGTTATCACGGGTTTTTTTCAAACTAACCTTCAAGTATTGCTTATAAAGATTTCATAGCCCACTGCATTAGTTTTAATAAACATCCACATAAATCACCGGCCTGATTTTAAGCTCCTTTAAAAGCCGCTTCTTGTGTTTGTCGACCCTACCCTGTTACCCCACGTACCACCAATTCACCTCATTTTTATATGGAACTGTGATCTCTGCTGTGATTTACCAAAGTGTGAGAGAGTCACATTTCAGACCTATTCAATTTATAACCTTTCTAAAAAGGGTGTTGAATAATTCTGGAAGTGCAACTGTCCCAAATGTGAAGACTGATCCTACGGGGCCTGTTACGACCTGAAATGCTCAACCTGCGCTGCACTGGCGTGCTCTTGGGAAGCCTCCCCTTCAGCTGCCTAGCCAGCTTGCTCTTCGAGAGCCTGAGATACCTGATGGGATAAAAACACAAGAGGACAAGAGAGCAGTCAGAGCGTAAAAAGAAGGAAAGGGGGGTTCTTTCTGCTGGAAAAGCTTATAAAAAGCATCAGGAGAAGTTGGTGGGTGGGTTTGTTGCCATTGAAATAGATAACATTTTCCTAAATGTGAGAAGCTTTACTGCTCGTGCTTTGTGATGTGTAGCCTCTGGGGGCAAAAGGCTGAAAATAAAAAAAAAAGTGTCCTATATTATGCTATCGTGCATAAACCAAGGATGTGTGTATGTTCACATAGCAGCGTAGTTCAATAAACAAAAAAAAATCTCTACTGTGCGGGACACTTTTGCTCCAGTTGGAGAACAATGTAGCACCAATATTTGTTTAAGACGTTATTCCAACAAACACTTACAGCTGAGGTTAATTTTATGCATGTGACTTAAGTGTGTGCTGAAAACGTTGAACGTTTGCTGAACGAGAGCCTAAACCAATAAAGTCGCTTGGGCCAAATCTATACTAGGGATTTTCTTTCGCCATAACTTTTAGAAGGTTGTGAGATTCGTATTTGCTTAAGTGGGGTGACTATAAATGTTGCCAAAATTTATGAAGGGAAGATCCTTCTCTAGAAGAGTCTAGGTCTCTCCAGGAGACTCACTTAGCCCTACCAGCAGAAGAGCTCTATTTGCCGTCATCAACTGAATCTCTACCAGAGCTTTCCTGCTAAAAGTCTACCAGCAAAGTATTTCAGAGAATAAGCTAGCTGGCTTTTTGTGTGTTTTGATTTACGACTGATAGCTTTGCCGTTTCTTTATGTTTTTCCATCATTATCTGTGTGTTTCAGAGGATTGCTGTATTGCAACCAGTGCTCTGAAGTTGTCAGTTCACCAGTTTTGAAAATGCAGCTGGAAGTCTTCTTGAGTTGTCCATCCCGATCTCAAAGTACAGTGAAAGTAAAGGTATGGCACGAAATGAGCTTCGGTGTATTGAGCATAGCGAGGCGAGGTGGACACATAGGTACTGTAAGCCACACTTTTATGAACAGCTCTGTCAGAAGAAAAATTAAAAGATGTAAGTGTATCCCGTAATTTAGTCTCATACTAAACTTGTGTTTCATTGGACTAAGAGCCCAGTTCCCAGATCTGACTCAAATAATACAGTCATTGAGTTCACCCTGAGGTTTGCAAACTGTTTATGGTCCAGCTGAAGGGCTTTGTTGGGTTGGGCCTTGGGAAACCTCAGTCTCCACAGCCTAAAAGGAACGTGTATTTTTAGACTCCCATTCTGAACATCTTCCGTGTCACCTCTCCTCTGCTTTCTTGGCCAGAGAAACAAAGCCATTCTGTCTTAGAATGATAAATCTGTGTTCAGCGTGACTGTTTTAACCTGTGAACAGAACGTCTTTGCATACGTAAGATTTTTGTCATGAACAAAACCTGTCCATTTTCTCATTCCAGCTGTTACAAAGGACAATCTCTTCTCTCCTGATGTGCTCCGCCAGTGAGGATGGGGTAGGTACAATGAACGTTGATGAAAGAAAGTTAAGCTACGTGGTTTACTGTAGAGGCAGAGTACAGGGGACGTGAAGCAGGTGGGAAGACACTCGGATCACAGAAATGAAAGGGATTCTTGGAGGTCATCGACCGACCTGCCACTCACACTGGGCTGTTGCCAATGCGTAGGCAGGTCAGCCGTGACTTTGGCTGGCAGGGTCTTGAAAACCTCCAAGAATGGAGGTTCTGCCTTTCCGGGCAGCTCGTTTCAGAACAGCGTTAGGTTTCACTAGAAATGACGGATTTTTTTCTTGTGTCCAGCCTGGGATTTGAGTGGGCTGGGCCCTTCAGCCATCCCACCTTCCACCCGCTGATGCCCTGCTGTCGCGTGACTGTCAGCAGGCTGACACCCTCCTTTTTGGAAGAGGGATGCCGAGATGGGAGGCGCAGAGCCGTCTGCAAATAGCCCCATGTCCGGACGTTCAGCGCCGCGATGGGCAGTGCTGGGCTGGGCTCCGTTTTCTGGCAGGGAATCCAAAGACGGCCAAGATACGCTCCAAGCACCCCACTTTTTGGGGGGGCTGCTCTTCTAAACCCTGTAAACCACAGCTGCTTTCTAATGGCACAGCCCTGAGCCCGCTGGCGGGCGGTAAGGGCAGGGAGGTGGGCAGAGCGCAGGCAAGATGGGAACGGTGTGAACGAAGCACGCGTAAGCCACGGGGACCTGTGGGCTAAAGTACAGTTGATGTCATCGTGAAGCAGTTATTCCTTTAATCTGAGATATCAGAAGAACCCTGACGTTTGGCACAGTGATCCAGATTTATCGCCGGCGAGGGAGGCACCCGGGAAGGTGCCCGGCTGGCATTGGCTGCTGGATGGTCGGCAGCGAAAGAGCAGCACCTTCAGGGAGTCATTAAGTCCAATTAGCATCCCGAGTTTCCCCCCTCCCCATTGCACGTGGAAGGGAGCGAAGGTCGGCTCGTCGCCTTGTTTAATCATCCCAGTGAAGCGCATTCAGTGAGGTGACACGTACTGGGGTCACGTTGCTTTCCCTGTCTTACACAGTCTTCCAGCATTTTGCTGTTAAGTGCTTCACGGTTCTAATGGGATTTATGGGTAATACTTAAAGTGGAACATTGCTCTGAAATCGTAAATTATTTTTTTTATGCTGGAGGGTGTATATTTCATAAAAACAAAGAGATACAAGAAATTTCCAGAATATGTTTGCTCTTTTAATAGCAGTTACGTCTTGCTAAGTTTTACAGGATGTGTCTGGTTTGGTTACAGGCTGACAAAACGTAGTTCTTTCTCGAATTACTAGAATTCAAATCAACCTCTTTTTCACGTTTCAGTTTTTATAATGCAAGTATTGAGAAGTGTGGCAACTTAGAAACACTTTTTATTTTTTTCCTTAGCTGAAATTCAGGGACAATTTTTTCCTTTTTTTGTCATATGCGTTTCCATCTCCGAACCGCCGCGTTTCAAAAAGCAGCACGCCTCAACAAAGGCGAATCACGAGAACCACCACTTGAGGTGGCATTGTTTTCTGCCAGTGCTGCTGAAGTTTCTAAGGGTGTAGCTTTGTAATCACTTCTTCTGCCAGGGAGGTTGGTTTTGGCCGTCCCTGGCCGCTCGTTCCTTACCTTGTGGCAGCCCTTCTGTTAGCCCAGCCGAGCTGTTTGTGCAGCTGCGTGGTGGATTGGACTGCAGAACCGGTCTGGGGCAAAAACAATCTAGGGAAAAAAAAAAGAAGAAGAAAAGGGTTGTTTGTGCCTTGAACCAGGCAGCAGGCGTGGGTATCGCATACCTGCGCAAACGCGCGGCCCAGGTGAACGGGGGCATGGGCAGAGGCTGGTCCCGGGCAAGTCCCATCGAGGAGAGAAACGGATGTCAACCTGCCGTACCCTCGGTATCGACCGTCGGTGTTAGCAGTGCTTCAGTGAACGTGCCCTCTCCTCTTGGAGGAGTCATCCCAGCCTCACGCCCCTCTCCTCCACGCAGAATACGGGCTCTGCAGATCCACTCGGGCACAACCCCCGTGGGCGAGCGGCCGCTGGGGTCATTAGCAGAAGGGACTGGTGGGGGCCGGTGATCGGGAACGATGCACGGTCCAACACCAAGTTAGAAGGGGCAGGGGGAGGGAGCAAGAAGAGTTAAAAGTGTTTTTTCCTTCAGTGGATCTGTTAGCTAAGGTGATGGATATATAGTGTGTGTATACCCGTTGCTAGCACGTGTGGATTCCTGCGAGCGTCACGCAGCTGGATGAAGGGAGGGCAGTTCGGTTACGCTGCAGCAACACTGAGTTCAAAGTCACAGTAGCTTTTTACTCTTTTTTTTTTTCAACAACTCGGTTTTTAAAAGCCTGGTAGGGAAGCAGCACTTTAAGCAGGAGTGAGATCTCGTTGGTGCAAAGCGAATGTATTCATTCTTCCGTCAGTTCTAACGCACCTTTCTTTCCGAGTCCCTAAAAAAACCGCCTGCTGGAAGAGGACCTTACACCCTGCATCTCCCGAGCCGAATGCTGCTTAGAACAGAATGTCCAGGACTGTTTGTTTTAATCAACATGCTTTTATCACTGCAGAGCTATGAGGTGCAGAGCGTGCTGGGAAAGGAGGTGGGGTTATTGAACTGCTTCGTCCGCTCCGCCACCAGCCACCCCAACTGTGTTGCACTGGAGGAGATTGTTCTTCTGGAAGCAGCAGCGAGACACTGAGCTGAACTCCAGTCAGCTACTATAGTATCTGTGGACTTTGTAATGTGGTTATCTGTTAACCAGTGCCACAGATAATGGGTAATGCCAGGGTGATAAGTATTAAGATAGTTTATTAAAACTATGATTTGCAAAGCACATTGTGCTCACGCTGAAAAAGTACCTCTGTAAAAAAATCTGTTCGACTTTCTGAACTCTTCTGGTTTGGATCAGTTCAGAAGTTAAGAATACAGGTCTTCGGCGCGTTTGCTGTTTGTATGTAAAACATTTTGTCCTGGAGTTTTGGATGGTTGTGAATTTTTTTTAATAATTCTGTATTTATTGGGTGTAGATGGAAAATATTTTACTGATATTTTTGAAATAAATACCTTGCTACAGGCAGTGAACATTGGTCTATGCTGTTTTATCAGTGGATTCCAGACGTAGCGCCGGCTGCAAAACACTGCCTTGTGCGCGAATTCCGAGTGTAATGTTTCTTATCACCTCGCAGTAGATGTTACAAAGATGGAGAATGGAACAAAGCCTGTATTTTGAAGTCTCAAGCATATATAAAGTTAATGTTTTACAGCTAGTCGGTCTCTAAGCATAGAAGTACCGTGTTATCTGTAGCTTCCCACAAAGCGGGTGTTTCATTATACAGTTTCTGTTACGGGTAACGAGCAAACTGCTTTGTAGGCCACGTAACTATCCTCACCCCATGGACATCCCATGTCCAGTCCCATCTGACTGGACAGAGACAGGGATTACAGATAAATAATAGCAAAATCTTGCTATGTTTCATAGGAAGGTATGTCTTGTCATTTGAGATGCAAGGATTCACGTGAGGGTTCAGTCAGAGTTTAGATTTTTTTTTTTTTAGATTTTTTTCCCCTCTCACAGTGTTTAAAAAACCCTTACAGGCCAGGGGAGGAGGAGTGAATGGTTTTGCACAGGTCGTGGGACGTGATTGCCCAGCAGAAGAGGAACAGCAAACGTGTTGCTACCGTGATCCTTCCTGCGGCTGAGGCTGATAGTGGAAGGCCTTCTGTACGTCACCGTTACTAAAGGAATGACCCAGCGTTTGAATCCCCCATTCTCCCCCCTCCCCCAAGTCTTTCAGTCTCCTTACCTGCTGCCTGGTGAGGAAGAAGGGGACACCAGCCCACTCCTGCCTGGGGGACACGGCCCTGTACCCACCAGGGTCGCCCCTTCAAAACCAGGACGATGGCGCTTGGCGCAGAATCACAGAACGTCAGGGGTTGGAAGGGACCTCGGGAGATCCCCTAGTCCAACCCCCCTGCCAGAGCAGGACCACCCAGAGCAGATCCTGTGAGGCCGTTCTTCTGCAGGTGCCCCGCAGATGCTGCCGCAACCTGCTCGCTCAGCCTGGTCGCCCGCTCTCGCTTTCATGGGCAGTGGCCAGTGAGAGTGGCCAGTGAGAGTGGCCAGTTTGTGCCCAGCGCTGCGACAGGCTGACGCGCAGAGGTGCGACGGCATCTCCCTTGGGAGCACGGCTGGTGGGAATCAGTGTAGGGGCAGCTTTGCATCGTCTGCAGTGGAAAACTGCTGACAGGTTTCTTAACAGGAATTTTTGACTGTGTTCTTGTGTTCAGGTGTATATATATTTTTTTATATCATTACAATGTTTCTGAGAGTTCTGGCCCAAGAGCAGCCCCCCCTACAGTGCCGGTGCTGCTCAGACCCCCCAGGTCCCTCAGCACAACTGACTCAGCATCCCGGGGGGC